AGCTGTTCCATGCAGCACAGGAGGGCTAAACAAGTAAAGAGCAGGGAAACCTCATTCACACAATTCTGCAGTCCCCTCTGCCATCCTGCCAGGAAGATTCATATGGAGTGATGCACTGCCACCTGCCGTTCCTTTGTGGCATTGCAGGCACCTCTGTGATGGAGAGGCATCAGCCAGCTTGTTCAGCTCCTGTCTTGGTGCAGCAAGCCCTCTGGGGCCTCCAAGGGCTGGAGGTTCACTTCCGTAGATCCATTAGGGCAGACTGCACTCTAAGTGCAGAAAATAGATGTTAAAGAGTAGGCTTTGGGGCAGCAGGAAGTAGGTGTAGTATATTAGACACATAAAAAGTAAATGAATACAAGAGGATGTGGGAGTTTCAAAGATAAATAGCACACATTTGTATGAGCATGGAACGTCTAAATATGCAGCAATGAGTTCATGCAAGCACACACATGCACACCTGAGGGTGCACAAGGCCGACATGCTGAGTGTCCTGAATGCCTCTCAGATCTCAGGGGCTTCCAGTCCCCTCCATTTGCACTGCAGCCCATCCTTGCTGTTCCTCACACATGGAGGGCAGGCGCTCTCCCCAGCGTCTGTGCACTTGCTCTTTCCTCACCCCAGATCATCACCAATAGACACCTGGTGCCCTCCTGTACTTTATTCAGGTCACTGCTCAAATGTCGTTTCTTCTTCTGAGATAGTTTCCTTGACCAGCCTGCCAAAGACAGCACTCTCTCACTGACCCCATGCCTGTCCCCCTCATTAACACATAACATCCATCTAGTACCAGGTGTCCCAGCACCGAGAACAATGCCCAACACGTGGTAGCACTCAAAAACTATTAAAATGAACGAATGACCATATTTTAGTAACACGATTCAGTTTTTTCACTAACATCATCCCTCCTGTATGTTCTGACTTTAAAATATGGTTAAAAGTCCTATGTGACAGAGACCAAGAAAATGAACCCCTTTAGAATGGAACTAACCGAGCTGGTGTAGTACTTGCATTCCAGTGGATTCATTTAACTCAGATCTGTCTGAGGAATCAGGACAACTGATGCACAAGAGGGGACCCTGGAACTGAGCCTGCAAATCTGACAGGTGCCATAAGAAAGGTGTAAAAGCTAAGGCCCTGGGGTGGAACACGGCACGGCATGGCCTTCAGGAGCAATCGGGACTAGCAGGAGCCATGCAAAGTCTGAGAGCATGTGTCCTGCCACCTGCCGTTCCTTTGAGGCATTGCAGGCACCTCTGTGATGGAGAGGCATCAGCCAGCTTGTTCAGCTCCTGTCTTGGTGCAGCAAGCCCTCTGGGGCCTCCAAGGGCTGGAGGTTCACTTCCGTCGATCCATTAGGGCAGACTGCACTCTAAGTACAGAAAATAGATGTTAAAGAGTAGGCTTTGGGGCAACAGGAAGTAGGTGTAGTATATTAGACACCTAAAAAGTAAATGAATACAAGAGGATGTGGGAATTTGAAAGATAAATAGCACACATTCGCACACACATGCACACCTGAGGGTGCACAAGGCCGACATGCTGAGTGTCCTGAATGCCTCTCAGATCTCAGGGGCTTCCAGTCCCCTCCATTTGCACTGCAGCCCATCCTTGCTGTTCCTCACACATGGAGGGCAGGCGCTCTCCCCAGCGTCTGTGCACTTGCTCTTTCCTCACCCCAGATCATCACCAATAGACACCTGGTGCCCTCCTGTACTTTGTTCAGGTCACTTCTCAAATGTCATTTCTTCTTCTGAGATAGTTTCCTTGACCAGCCTGCCAAAGACAGCACTCTCTCACTGACCCCATGCCTGTCCCCCTCATTAACACATAACATCCATCTAGTACCAGGTGTCCCAGCACCGAGAACAATGCCCAACACGTGGTAGCACTCAAAAACTATTAAAATGAATGAATGACGATATTTTAGTAACACGATTCAGTTTTTTCACTAACATCATCCCTCCTGTGTGTTCTGACTTTAAAATATGGTTAAAAGTCCTATGTGACAGAGACCAAGAAAATGAACCCCTTTAGAATGGAACTAACCGAGCTGGTGTAGTACTTGCATTCCAGTGGATTCATTTAACTCAGATCTGTCTGAGGAATCAGGACAACTGATGCACAAGAGGGGACCCTGGAACTGAGCCTGCAAATCTGACAGGTGCCATAAGAAAGGTGTAAAAGCTAAGGCCCTGGGGTGGAACACGGCACGGCATGGCCTTCAGGAGCAATCGGGACTAGCAGGAGCCATGCAAAGTCTGAGAGCATGTGTCAAGTTCTTTTTCCAGAGCCTGGATCATAGTTAAATCGTCAGTAACTAGTGACTCTTTCTAGCTCTTTTGTTAAAATGGGAGAGTTTTATCGAGCAATTTCAGCTGGCAGAGCATGGGCTCTGAAATCGAGCTGCTTTAGTTCACACCCTGGAATCAAGGAAGGTCACCTTTCTCTGTTTGTTGGTCTCTAGATGGGGATGATGGCAGTGCCTGCTCCATGAGGTTGTTGTGAGGATGAAAGGGGAATAAAAAGCCATTAGCAGAATCTGTGGTGCACAGCTGTCCCTCAGTAGTGCTGCCTTTGGTCACCTCATTGAACTATTCTGACTTATGACCAACAACTTTTTATCGTATGGCTTCTAAGCCAGAAAATCAATTCTGTTCTGTATGCTGGTCACAAAGCCTCACCTCAAATTCTATAAAGAGAGAGAAGCATGGACAAAAGCAGAGACAGGAAATTATAGCATTTGTTACCCAGCGAATGTTCGAGTATCTGCTATGTCTTGGAAACTGTCCTAGCCTTATCTTTAAAGGTAAATGCACAGGGCTCTTATCCTCCCAAGTTGGCAGCCTGTGTTCCCTGTCTCACAAATGTTACATCAATATGTGTTATTATTGTTATTATAATTAGGTAATGGGGGTTTTAATTTGAGCAAGTGAATAGCATAATCCACATGACTTTCTAGGAAAATCTCTCTGAGAACAATTTGGAGGGTGAGAAGGTACCTCACCATCACCATGCTTTGTATGCATATGTAATGTAGATACATGCAAGAATGAAGCTACACAAACACACGCATATAGTTCAAGGCCTACAAGGCCGACATGCTACGTGTCCTGAATACCTCTTAGATCTCATTGGCTTCCACTCCTTCCCTCCATCTCTGCATTGCAGCTGTTCGGGCTTTCTTACTATTCCTCCAACATGGAGAGCCACCTCTCCCTCAAGGTCCATGCGCTTGTTCCACCCTCACCCTGGCGCATACATTGTATTCTAGGTGCTGAGACACCTGGCATTGGGTGCCGCTTATGTGTTATTGAGGGAGGCAGGCATTGAACATGTAGGGCAGCAGGTGGATCAGGTAGGGATAGGTTAGAGGCAGGAAGTCAGTGAGAGAGTGGTAATGGCCCAGGTAGGGGGGATGGTTAGTGCATGAATCAGGGCAGGATTGGGGTAGGTGAGAAGAGCTCTAGTGGAGACATATTTCTGAAACCAAATAAATGGTGGCCTAAATGGATGTGGGAGGTAAGAAATAAGCAATCTAGATTGACTTTCTACTTCTGGGTTGCTCCCCTGGATAAACACTGGTTTTATTCGACAGATGGAGAAAATAGAATGGGGGAGAATCATGTGTTTCTCAGAACCCTTTGGCTGCTAATTGAGTCTGGAGTCCAGAAGGTGGTTTTGGAGCCCATAGCATGTGGTCATCAGTTGAAGGTCAGGGTGTGGGTGATATGACTCAGCGGAAGAGCATGTGGAGGGAGAAAAGGCCAGAGACGGTATGCCAGGAAACACATGTAAAGGTCAAGCAGAAGAAGAGGTGGTGATTGAGCAGGGGGAAAGGCCCGAGGCACCCCCTTCTTCTCCACCTTGTGGAATAATGGTGGAGGTGATAGATTTCTGTCATTTTCAACCTCAGAGGAAATCACATTTTTCCTGGGAACAGCGACTCAAAGGGAAGGTCAGGGTCCTAGGAAAGGTCCGAGTGGTTCTGTAGGAGGAGGATATTGGTATCTTTGTGGATTTGTTCATCTGATTAAGATTTCTGGTCGAAGGGGCCTCCATCGATAGCATCATCCTTTGTTTAGTTTAGCACATCCTGAGGAGTGAGAACCAGAGAGCTCTCTGCCCACTCAGGCATGCCTTTGTCCTGGACAAGCTTACCTCAACACCAAACACAGTTTACTCCATGGTTACCTAACCAGGTGCTTTACAGACAAGCCCCCCCCCGCCCCCCCCCACACACACACATTTACACGCACACAGATCTTTAAAATCCAGTAAATAATAAAGAATAATTATCCTCCTTCTCTCACCACGCAACATGAAGTCTATGAGATTTATCACAATCCTGGTTTATCACCAAGGATATAACCTCTTGGAAAGACTCTCTGTTTCAATGTGAAACCTCCTATTATGCCTTTTCACCTAAAGACTTCATAAATTATTTGTTAATTTTTAAACTTTTACACATAAACAACTCAGACATGTTAGGCCTGGAAGAAAGTCGGTAAATGGAAAATGTTGAGCTGTAGTTATTCACAATATATCCTTTTCTCCAAGGTAGCAAAAGCTCCAGAGCACTTTTCTCAGGAAAATGACTGCTGTGTTCTGGAGGCATTAGAATGAGTCATGCGTATTCTCTCCAGAACTGAGAGGTTGCAGCAGAGAAAGCTCTTCCCTCTCCATCCCTCCTCTCTCCTCTTGTGCCTCAGGTCCCCTGGAGCATGTGCACCTGGCCCTGCCCTTTGTCACCACGAAGAACAAAGAGGTCAACGCAACCGCCGTGCTGTGGCCCAGCCAAGTGGGCACCCTCACCTACGTGTGGTGGTACGGGAACAACACGGAGGTGGGTCATGCTGGAAACAACACGCATGGGAGCTGGTGGCAGCTCAACTCCAACTAGCTGAAGCAGAAAGGGAATGAGATGGCTTGTGGAACTCAAGAGTCTGGGGGCGGGGGTTCCTAGCCTCGGGGCCAGCAGGCCCTTAGAGCATCAATACATGTATTCTCTTTGTCTCTCTGTCTCTGTTTCTCTGCCTGTCTCTGTTTCTTTATCTCACCATGCCATCCCCTACTTCTTGCCTCTGCCTTCCTTTGTGTAACTGCCCTTCTCTAGTTGGACAATCCTTTGCAGTGACCCTTTGCAGCAGCCCAAGCTTTACACCCTCACAGCTCAGCAGAGAAAACAAACTCTTTCTCCAAAGTTCTAACACAAGTCCTGGGATGGACTATGATTGACCAGGCCTTGGTCACAGCGCTGGGGTGGAAAGAAGTGTGGAAGTCAGCCTCCTGAGAACCACATGAACCAAGACAAGGGAGGGAATGGTTCCCAAAAGGAAAAGAGGTGAATGGATACGGGCCAGGCAAAAGCAACAAATGCCCATTTGCTGGGGCTGACCATCAGACCCTGAGCTATGGATGAATGATTACTCTGACACCACATTTGCTGTGAAAGAGAGGGCTAAGGGACTGCCTGGCTAAAGGAACCAGGTAGCCTCGATCGCCTGCCTCGTTAGGCTTTTATTGTAACGGCAGTTTGAGATAAAGTTTATCTTTTAGATACAATCGATAGGATAAGTAATCTTGGGAGGGACATGTGTTTGCAGTGTCCTTTAAGCAAGGACACCCAAGATTAAGCATAAGGATTCCAGTAAACACCCAGGGGTCTGCAAGTGCACAGACTTGTTTGGAAAGGTCAAGGAAAAATTAGGGACGCCACCTTCGGCACTCCCCTAAGTTAGAATTCTGATCAACAGGGCAGGCTGTCTTCAGCACAATTCCCTTTTTTCAGAATGTCCTCCTTACAAACTTTCCAACCAAGTCTCCTGTGCTCCCCAACACCCATTACCACCCAGCTCCCCAGATGGCCTCCTCACCCTGCATCAAACACGCCAACTTCTTTAGTCAGCTTTACCCCTTCTGTTTTCCCAGAACATCCCCTGTGATCAAAAGTCAGCAGCCATTTTTAAACCAGTAGAGACCTTCACCTCATTTACTCTGAGTCCTTTGTTTGGCAGATGAACAAAAGTGAGGAAGAGGTGGACAGAGTGGCCTGCTCCAATCCCATTCAGCTGCTTCATGCAGGGATCAGATCCAAGGCCTTCTGATGCCTACCCGGATTCTTATTCTCCTTATACCTGGCCGTGTGCTCTGTTTCAGTTTTGAATTCACTCCATTCTCATAAATTAAAATAAGGCCCCAGAGTGTCCGCCAGCATAGGACACAGGACGGACTGCCCTGGACTGGAAGCCCCATCTTCTTCCAGCAGAGTCCCTGTCTCTTGATGATTTAACTGTTCTGATGCAATGCATTTTATTTTAATGCAAATATTGTTCTACCCCAGAGCTGAACTTTGGCTTTAACTCCAGACAATTTTGCACAGGCCAACGATGAACACTCCCCTCTAGCCCTGCTACAAGCCTGACAGTGGAAGGAATCGCTCATCTCTACAGTTAACATTAACTCAGCTGAAAAAAGCCCATTTTTTATTACTTCTGAAACTGTACATGTAAATTCATTCCAAACTGAGAGGACATGACCCACAGTGAGAGAGTAGAAATCTATGTTATTGAAAGCTAGACTTGGAAGGTGAAAGTCCTAAACAATGTTATTCTCTGTCTCCTATTATTTACCTTTTAGCAGAAAACCACATTTTCAATAGATCATGTTGAGCAGCCTTCTTACGCTGGCTTTCATCTTCCCTCTGCCATCCAGGGAATTAAATGACTTTTGATTTTAAAATTAATTAAGAAAAGACAGGAAAGAAATGATTGCGGGGAGTGAGTTGAGGGAGGTCATAGGCTAATTATCTTTTCCTTCAGGACCCCGGCATCCAATTGTAGCACAGGCACTGGTCCAAGTCATTGTCTTTATTTATTTATTTGTTTGAGTCCTCAAACCACCATCCAATTAGTACTTGTTTCCATGGAAGCTGCTTCCATGAAATGCTGATAGGCCTCTCAGAGGAAGCCCAGCCATGCCAGGCCACTCCTGTTAACTACTGTGGTTTTGGTGTTCACGGTTGCTGTGTTCCATTGCAACTTATTATGACTAGTATACCCTGGAGATAAACAACTGGCAGTTTGTAGATTTTCAGTGACTGCTGCTTAAATCTGGGTTCATATGGCCCTCTCTTTTGGTCTGATCTGAATGTTTCCTTGAATGAAAGTATCTGCTTATTATGAGTAGATTATCCATAAAGACACATGTATCCCATCAACAAGCACAACATATCAATCTTCCCAGCCCTCATTATGGTTCCAGGAGAGAAGTGTCAAATTCAGAAGACATGGGCAGGGCTGCTTGGGGCCATGGCTCTATAGCCCCTTTCTGGTCTGGACTTGAGATGATGGGGAGGTATGGATGGAGTCAGATGTCACCAAAAAGAGCCTCCACTGATTTAAGATGCTTGCTGGTGGCCGTCTCCTCTGTAACTGAAGAGCTTTGGCTCGGCTAGTGTTGCTCAGTGGTTGAGAATCCACCTATGAAACATGAGGTCAAGGTTTGATTCCCTGGTTGCAGCCTTGATCCCCAGTAGAGGGTGTACAGGAGGCAACAGATCAGTCATTCTCTCTCATCATTGATGTTTCTCTCTCTCACCCTCCCTTCTTCTCTGAAATCAATAATATATATAGCTTTGCCCTTACTCCATGCTTTTGTTTATTCAAGCCCTTGATCACCTTGGAAGGCAGCATATCATTCAAGTTTACCTCCGAAGGGATGAACACCATCACAGTGCAGGTCTCAGCTGGGAATGCCATTCTGCAAGACACCAAGACCATCGCAGTGTATGGTGAGTACTCTGTCTTCATTGATTCACCGCTGCCCCCCTGCTCAGAGGTTACTCGGTACCAGAGTGCCAGAGGCCATCAGCTTATGACCTCTAACCACAGCACAGAGGACAGTGGTTGAGAAAGAGCTGAGTCAGGTCTGGTCTCCTCTTTTAGGGAAGAGACCCCAGCAAAATAGTAGTCACAAGACACCAGAGGGTTTATTGTTTTGTTTTGTTTTTCTCTCCACGTGGCTCTGGTGCACATAGAGTGTCCATTCGCTCACTCACCTTAGGTAGGGTGAGCTTCATTATATGTAAGGCTCTTTCATTCCATTTGGCATTTTGGTGGTGTTTGAATAGCTAAAACCGATTATAAAAGAAAATGGTTAATATTGAGGTTTTCTATAAAAGTTAACGTTAAGGAATCTACCAATATCTAAGTACTCTGAAAATATTTTACACAAATCTGTATCATAAAAATGATGCTAGATTAAAAGAGATGGAAGGGTCATAACAGGCAGATGTCATATACTGGATATTGATTTGAACAAGTCACTGTAATTTTATAATCCATTGGGGAAGTTGAATATGGTCAGATTATTAGATGGAATGAAAATGTACTGAACTGGAAAGGTGGAATTATTAATTGAAAATGAGGATTGAAAAAACAGTTTATACAAATTGAGCTCATTTGGGAAATTTTTTTCTGCACAGAAGGATATTCAGATGGATGTACTGTTATTAGTGGATAACAAAAATGTAAACTTTTATTGTTGATATGGAAGTGGTACATATGCAGTATGGAAATTAAAATTAAAAAAAGAATTTTAAAGAAGATAGGGAAAGTAAATTCTGTGCAGAGAGAGAGAGTGTACAAAAGAGAGGGAGAAAGGAGGGAGAGAGGATAGATAGATAGATAGATAGATAGATAGATAGATGATAGACAAACCAGCTGGTGGTTCAGATAATATCAATTGTCCCAGTTCCAGAATTAATTGATTCTGATGCAGGTTCTGTTTCTCATTTCTTGTCTTGCCAACTTGACCTTCAAATTCAGAAAGTAATTTGTAAGCAATTTGGAACGTGTCTGAGGAGGATATTCCCTGCATAGCTGGGTGTTAGATTTCATAATGTCCCCTCCCTTTTCCCCCAACCCCCCACCCCTGCCAAGAAGTTGAGAAGCCCAATAGTAAGTGAAAGTAGACCAGGGCTGCGATTTTCCTCACAAAGTCCCATCAGTGAGGCAATGGCCCAGCCAGAGTTCAATCAGGAAGAAAACTTTGGCTTCTCTTTACTTCTCTACCCATTTCTATGCCCTGGGATGCATTGAATCCTCATAACAACCCCAGTGTAGGATAGGTGATATTATTATTATTGGTGGGGAGCTCTCTGCATCCCCACCTGTTTGTTGCTGGTGAATGTGGGGTTCTTGCCGTGTCACAAGAGAGGAATTTTCTGAGACTTGCACCGGAGATTGAGTGGCTTTTAGTTGTGTGAAATTACATCCATGATTTTCCAAGATCCCATTTTCCTTCATCCAGTCAAGGAAGAAGTCCAGCTGTGTCTTTAGCAGCACTAGGATTACAACCATTGCTCAAGGTTCTGTTCCATATTTGCATAGCCCAGGCTAACTTGAACTGCAGCTTGTGTTCCCAGCTGCAGTCCATCAGCCCATTGCCACATGGCTATGAAGGGAACATGGGTAAATGCAAGGAAGCAGGAGCCAAGCCAGAGGAACAAGAGAGCCAAAAGAGAGTGAAGTATTCCGTTGTCTGGGGGATTATGTATCCCCCAATTTTCCCGGGCTTTCAGTGGCCCCACCCTCTCTAGCCAATTATTTTTGCTTCCAGGTTAGACCAACAGGCACCTTCCCTATGTCACCCCAACTTCATTGCTCATGCATCTATCCCCCCTTTGTCCAGTCCCTTCCCCCAGTGATCTGGAGGGAATGGACCCATGGTTCTCTGGGGAGGGTAAAGTTGCAGCTTCCTGGTAAAGCTGCCCAGATGGCAATGCTTGGCTCCCTTTTGCTTTCTTCCTATTAATAAGAACTAGCTAATTACGATGGTATAATTATTACTCTCATTTTTTGCAGAGGCGTAAATAACTTGCCCTGTCTAGTAAGTGGTGGAACTGGGCTTCCAACACAGAACATCCATACCAAGGACTCATGCTTCTGAGATTTCCCTACTGCGCTGGCCCTCATGTCTTTTCCACCTGATGCTCTTTTTCCTCTCTCATCTTCCTGGATGGCACAGGGGTCACTAGGGGCACTGACCTATTCTTCCCACAGATGTCCCCTTGGTTAAGAGTATCAAATATTTTCTTACTAGAACAACAGAGAGAACTTTGAATCTATGTATTCTCTAGGGTTACATGGTCCAACTAGTCATTTTGCAGATAGATAGGAAATTGTGGCCCAGAAATGGGAAATTACTGACTTAACATTATTCTGCTGTTCAGTGACAGATCCAATAATGATGGTAGTGCTAGTAATTAACATTGATGGAACCATTACCAGCATCTGTTCTAAGCACTTGATATATATGATCTATTTTATTGAACAGAGTTGAGAAAGGCTTATGAGAAATATGCTATAATTATCCTTGTTTTACAAATGAGAAAATATGAGGTAAGTATAGTAAACAGAGTCTAAGACTCTGAATTCAGAGGGAATATTTCTAACCACTTTCCACCACTTTGCTACTTAGTTGTTCCTCTTCCTAAAACTCCTTAAAAGGCATAATCCAAAAGAGAGTCACCCCTTAGGATGGGATATCTTCATTGAAAAAGGTGAAGTGGTTTCCCCTCCTCTAACCAAGTCCCTGAACCATCACACTTTTTAAAATTTGTCTTTAGTCAGATGAGTTGTCCAGAGTTGCATATGAATGACTAGAAAATTGTAATGACACTTTTGACATATTAAAGGCAAATTGCAGCACATGGAGTTAGGCAAGATTTAATTCAACCTAAACATCACTAGGGGCACTGACCCATTCTTCCCACAGATGTCCCCTTGGTTAAGAGTATCAAATATTTTCTTACTAGAACAACAGAGAGAACTTTGTATTCTCTAGGCTTACATGGTCCAACTAGTCATTTTGCAGATAGGAAATTGTGGCCCAGAAATGGGAAATTACTGACTTAACATTATTCTGCTGTTCAGTGACAGATCCAATAATGATGATAGTGCTGGTAATTAACATTGATGGAACCATTACCAGCATCTTTTCTAAGCACTTGATATATATTATCTATTTTATTGAACAGAGTTGAGAAAGGCTTATGAGAAATGTGCTATAATTATCCTTGTTTTACAAATGAGAAAATATGAGGTAAGTATGGTAAACAGAGTCTAAGACTCTGAATTCAGAGGGAATATTTCTAACCACTTTCCACCACTTTGCTACTTAGTTGCTCCTCTTCCTAAAACTCCTTAAAAGGCATAATCCAAAAGAGAGTCACCCCTTAGGATGGGATATCTTCATTGAAAAAGGTGAAGTGGTTTCCCCTCCTCTAACCAAGTCCCTGAACCATCACACTTTTTTTAAATTTGTCTTTAGTCAGATGAGTTGTCCAGAGTTGCATATGAATGACTAGAAAATTGTAATGACACTTTTGACATATTAAAGGCAAATTGCAGCACATGGAGTTAGGCAAGATTTAATTCAACCTAAACAAAAGGAAGGGAGATGTTTAAACTCTGGGATGAGCCAGTGGAAAAGTACTAGAGGACTTTGGGGGATTATCAATGTAATTAGGACATCAGTGTTTGCTAATTGGTGCTTAGAAAGTGAGGCTCCTGCCCTGCCCTCAGTGGTAGGGGTCTTATTTTCTTGATGATGACATTGCAAAGGCATGGCCCCCTGGTCCTTGAGAAAGCTATTCATGGCTTATAGAAGATTTATATCTCAAAGGGGCAGAGAAAGAATTTACAATCGCAAGTTTGCCAAAGTAAATGCTCTTAGAAAAGAGAGGTCAGGGACCTATAGTCAGGAAGGAACCTGTCTGGAATGCAGTCAAGTTGAGGGAAACATTAAGGCCATCGTGGTCACACTGAAGGAGGCATCATATTTGGGAAGTAGACAGAGGAAAGATTATCCACCTAAAGACACGTAATAGACCAGAGGAAAGAAAATCTCCTTTTTTATTATTTCCTTTAATGTGCTTCAGGGCACAGGTTTACTCTTAATACAACAAAGAATATATGAATATGTAGAATTTCTCTCTCTCAGCAGCTACTATATATATATATATATGTATATATATATACATACATATATATATGTATATATATACACACATATATACATATATATGTATATATATGTGTGTGTGTGTGTGTATGTATGTATGTATGTATATGTGGATGTGTGTGGATGTGTATGTGCATATGTATTATTGATGTTTACCCTTCTCAGTCCTCCCACATGCATCCCCTATTTGTTGAATGAACTTAAGTATAACATTGCTCAGCCATCCCCCTCTACCCCGCCCCACTGTTTAACATGCTAAGTCATTTCAGAGGGAGCTTCATCATTTGTGTCCTTTTATTAAGATAAACATCTTCCCTTGTAGATGAAGTTTCTACAGTTTGATAAGAGGTTCTGGGGAAGTGAAAATGACATAAACATATCTTTGAAGTGAAAAGTTAGGACTCAGTGGGTGATTTTCTAGCACTGCCATTGACCAGGCTACTAATTAGTATGCATTTCACTGCTCTCCATCAGAACGGACATGGGGGTATTCACATTGATAACCAGTGACTCGTAAAATAGTCAAACTCTGAAAATAGACATCTCTGGACTGCCACTAATGCACACCTTACCATGTAGGAGTCATCAAAGCTTGTGTCCCAGGAGTCCTTGCATTGTTAGGAAATGCAAGTGGGTGTTTATGTTTCCTGAATGTGTATGCAGCATTGCCCTTGTTGCTGAACCCCCAAACACAAGGAACCGCTTAAGTCAAGAAATGTTAGTTAAATAGTAAATGTAGAAATTACAGAGAGCCTGCACTGTAATTCATGCATTTATTTATTCAACAGAAAAATTTAATCATTAAATGACTTATATTTAGGAATTGAAAAGCCATGAAGAGGAAACTATTTCATAGAGCCAGGAATACAATACCCCTTTCCTCATTGCGTTTATATTCCAGTGGGAAACAGACAATAAAAACAAAATAATTTAAGCAGCAAGAAATATGAAAAAGACAAGCAGGGTCATATGATGGAGGGTGTTTGAGTTGGTGAAAGGGAGGATACCAAAGTGGCTGGTGGGAGGGGGTTCTCCCAGGAGAGCCTGAAAGATAAGAAAGTTGAGAATGCTATAGTCTAGGGACCTGAAAGCATGGTGCTAATGTGGGCAGATTGAGGGACCCAGGGAAGGACAGGGGCCTGGAGTGGGGACCCTAGGGGTTCTCCCAGGAGAGCCTGGAAGATAAGAAAGTTGAGAATGCTATAGTCTAGGGCAGTGATGGCAAACCTATGACACGCGTGTCAAAGGTGACACGCAAACTCATTTTTTGGTTGATTTTTCTTTGTTAAATGGCATTTAAATATATAAAATAAATATCAAAAATATAAGTCTTTGTTTTACTATGGTTGCAAATATCAAAAAAAAGTGGCTGGTGGGAGGGGGTTCTCCCAGGAGAACCCGAAAAGTTAGAAAGTTGAGAATGCTATAGTCTAGGGACCTGAAAGCATGGTGCTAATGTGGGCAGATTGAGGGACCCAGGGAAGGACAGGGGCCTGGAGTGGGGACCCTGCAGGACATGAGGCAGCAGAGAAAGTCACTATTGGGTTGTGTGGGATGAGGGGGCTGTGGTAAGAATCTGTTAAATTGTATTCCACATGCTATGCAGAGCCATGTGCCAAATGCTGAGCTGAGTTAAGGTTCTGGGCTATGCTCTGAAACCCAGCACCATGCTGGGGCCAAGGCTACACCTTCCATGTGCGGATGCCCACCAGTGACTGACTAAGACAGGAATTCCAGGGCAGATCCATTCCTGGGGCACAGGGGACTCCTCTGGCTCACTTTGGCTGGAAGACTCTCCCACAGTCTTTCTGGACCTCCCACAGACTGCGGAGCCTGTCTGTGATCACAGTCAGGGGTGCTCAAGCTCCTGTGGCTTTTTCTCCAACTCTCTCCTCATAAAATTCTCGCTTCTGTAACCCCACCTACTTCCTGGAGGAGTGGGACTAACTCAGGGACCAGGGAGACAACTAAGAAAACCCTTGAACTGAGAAGCTTTAAATTCCATTACATAAAACTTTCATGCAAACGCAAAGTAGCAACAGAATGTAATAGAATCAGGGGCATGGAAAGGGAGCAGACTGACAATTCTCAGGGGGAAGGAGTGTGGGGGGTGAGGGAAGAGATTGGACAAAGATCTTACACCTATGGATGAGGACAGTGGAGGGGGGGGTGAGAACCGGGTGGAGGGGAGCGATGGGGGGAAAAAGAGGAATATCTGTAATAAATCTGAACAAAAAGATAAAAAATAGCAACAGAATGACTATAATAATAATTATAAGTATGCAATCATGTAATAATAATGAAAGTGTGTGCAAAATGCAGTTGTGCCATAAAAAAGAAAATTAAAACAAGATAGGAGAGGGCACTCATTTAGTAAATGCTCTAAGTTTGCATGGAAGATGGGAAACATGGGCATTCTAGGCAAGGGATAGTGTGTGCAAAGGCCCAGGGTCATGAACTTGAGGTGCATTCAGGGCGCTCCAGGTCATTTCATGTCAGGAGTACAGAGTCTGGAACTGGGGGACAATGGACAAAGGCTTCGGAGCTGAGCAGGGACCAGGGCCTAGGGCTTTGTTCTGGAAAAAGAGGAGTGGGGAGATAACAGGGATGGGATATTGAATTTGCCTTCTATGTAGTTTGCCCATGGCTGGCCTAGGGCTTTGTTCTGGAAAAAGAGGAGTGGGGAGATAACAGGGATGGGATATTGAATTTGCCTTCTAGCGGGGTCTTTCTGGTGAGTGTGGAGGAAATGGACCCTTCATTAGGGCTTTGCATACAATGCAAAGTATACAGACTTCTTGAGAAAACTACTTGACTTACAGTGATCATCCTGCTCTTGTGTTCCCAGAGGAATTTCGATCTCTTCGCTTGTCCTTTTCTCCAAACCTGGACGACTACAACCCGGACATCCCCGAGTGGAGGAGGGACATCAGCAGAGTCATCAAAAAGTCCCTGGTGGAAGTGAGTGCACACGGTTCTCTCTTGCCCAGGCTGAGAAGGGACTGTCCCTGAAGAGCTTCACGGTGAGGGAATCCTTATGCAAAGAAACGACAGGAGAGATCTGGAGCCCCTGGGAGATCTGTCTGATATCTGCAGAGCTGAGCTCCGTGATTGCAGATGCATCATAGATGCTTCCGGGGGGTGAAACTGTAAACAAATATGTGGCCATGAACTCTACTTAGAGAAGAGCGTGGGAGTTTGTGATACAGTCAGATCACAGAGTTCATGATGAGCCATTAGTAAGTATAAAATCAGGGTCTGGTTTTACGTGTCTTAATGCTGAGAGACACAGTGTGAATCTAATTAGTAAGAGCAGCCCTGGGTTCCAGCTCCACAGACGGTGAGCATAACGGCACAGTGAGCACTCGGAACATGATGGTTAGTCATCCTTCGATGACCAGGTCTTTTAAAGGCATTTGTTGCCTGCAACAGCCCTGACAGGAAGGTATTATTTGTCCTCATTTTGCAGATTGAGCAACTGAGGTTCAGAGGGGTTAACTTGCCTACTGCCTCAAAGCTAATAAGTGTTGAAGGTAGAACGTTGAATTGAAGGCTCTGAGTCCAATGTCTGGGTTGTTACCTGTGAAACACAGCCCCTGGGGTTGCTGGGAAAATAACCAGGTGATGTGATGTATCCCTCTCTAAGCAAATGTCACTGGCATTTCGAGAAGACACCTTCTTTTAGACACACTGCCCTGTGCATACTCCACTTTCATGAATGATCAGAGGAGGGATGTCTGCTTATGGAGCTGCTTGGAATTATTGCACACACCCAGAAAATCAGAGATGAGAGACTTTTTCCTCGGGTATATTCTTAGCCCCCAAAGGAAAGTCAATGTAGGTGTACCTTTTTGTACATTCTCTCCTGCACCCAATACATGATAGTAAATGCCACAAAGAGATATTGGCTAAAGGCATTCAGGTAACCTTGCTCAGAAAACTGATCTTGCATCCACCCTTTTAGCAAACAGCTGGCCTGTCCCATATTCATACTATTATTTTTGTTGATATTTACTTAGCACTTACAATATTCCAAAACTCTTCTCAGTGCCATTGCAATTTAACACATTTCATCACTAAAAAAACTAGCTTAGGATGTGGATAGTATGATTATTCCCATTTTACAGGCAAGGAAACTGAACTTAGAGATATAACTTGTCCAAGGTAACAGTTAAAATTCAGGTTCTAGAGTCAGACCATCACGGTTTGAGTCTTGATTTCATACTTTCATAACCACTCCACTCTGCTTCCATCCTTTGTCTCATTATATGGAGAAACAGGGGTAAGTGGAACAGTGTGCTGTGGAAGGGGTATCTTCAAACACCTCTGGGTACATGCCTTCTCAACATTCGTCTTCAGGACTCAGCATCCATGATATTATGGGTGGCTAAACATTATGGCCACCAGAGGGCGCAGCTGCTAGACCACAGGATCCACTGGAATAAGCCCTTCTGCCCTTGTGGCTATTTGACTCTGGTGTGATAACTGGTTTCTCTCCCCTGCTGTCCAAGAGACATGACTGGCCCCTGCCCCTCAATGAACTCACTGCCCTCCTCCTTCAGTCTGCAGCGTTCTAGGGATCCATGTCCCTATCGATCTCCCAGGCAGCTGTTCAACGTCCCCACATGATTTATCAACCAGGCATCAGCTCAGCAGTGACCAGTTTTTCAGGCTGATTTCTCTTCATATTTATTGTCTGGGGATCAGATGCCCTGGGCCTCCACCTTTCCACCAGCTGTCTAGTGGGCTAGAAATGACTGTGCAAGAATATTTCTAGCAGGACTCAGCATCCATGATATTATGGGTGGCTAAACATTATGGCCACCAGAGGGCGCAGCTGCTAGACCACAGGATCCACTGGAATAAGCCCTTCTGCCCTTGTGGCTATTTGGCTCTGGTGTGATAACTGGTTTCTCTCCTCTGTGTCCAAGAGAGATGACTGACGCCTGCCCTTCAATGAACTCACTGCCCTCCTCCTTCAGTCTGCAGCATTCTAGGGATCCATGTCCCTATAGATCTCCCAGGCAGCTGTTCAATCTCCCCACATGATTTATCAACCAGGCATCAGCTCAGCAGTGACCAGTTTTTCAGGCTGATTTCTCTTCATATTTATTGTCTTGGGATCAGATGCCCTGGGCCTCCACCTTTCCACCAGCTGTCTAGTGGGCTAGAAATGACTGTGCAAGAATATTTCTAGGCTGACGTATAGCATAATCAGCCCAATGCAGAATAAACAGGCTCAACATCCCTCAGGACAGGCTGTGATGGATAGAGGAAGTTTTGAAAACTCCCTGGTTCCCCAGTCCCAAGAGGCAGCTGACCCAGCCCCTGGTGCCTAGTGCCCCACCCTGTCTTTGGCCATTTTCTTAAGTCCGGAAGTATCACATTGCCAAGTTTACCTTAATAAACCCAATAAGAGGTACAACTTGCGGTCAACTTATTTGTACTTTTCTTGTTCATTACATGACAGAATTAAGGCAGGGGAGGGGTAAGAGATCAACCAAAGGACTTGTATACATGCATGTAAGCATAACCAATGGACACAGACAGTAGGGGGGTGAGGGCATGTGCTGGGGGGCAGGAGCAGGTGGGGAGAAGTCAATGGGGGAAAAAGGAGACATATGTGATACTTTCAACAATCACCTTTTTCTCATCAAATGGGGTTTTTCTGTTGACATTTCACCATGGGATCTTTCACCGAAAGTCTTCATTAAGCATTTTTTAGTATGATAAGAATGGTTTAGACAATCTTGAGTTAAAAATCTAGTAGGGGCATAGAACAGTATAATATTGGCTGTGATAGGAACTGCTGTGTGATCATTGTCAGAAAAAGGGAGGTGGTAGAGAACTGATGACGAACAGAGGCTTCATGGTCAGACCAAAGTCCCAGACTAATCATCACCACTCACTACCTAGGTGGCCTTGAGCCATTGTTTCCCTTTCCTCCATCTGCCATCTGTCCTGTGACAGAAATAGAGATGCATTGCCCAGATCCCCATTCAGGGAAAGACTGTTGTCTTAACTGCTAGGAGTGCTGTGGGTAGAGGCTTCACCTGCCTTGCTCCAGGTCATGTCAGTGCTCATATCCAGTGACTGACGCAGTTAGAGAAGGGCCTGGCTTAACCTCACACACACCTGAAGCACCATTCTCACTCCTTGTAAGACCACCCGAGGCTGCCATGGGCCTTCATCACAGCTCAACTTCTCCCTCTGCTCATTCTTGCTTCCTTCTCTTCACTCCCATAGCTGTTGATCCCAAGAGCACCCTTAATAAACACCCCAAATGCTAAACTCAAGTCAGCCTCCTGAAGACCCCAACCTGTGATATGTCTTGACCAACAAAGAGGGGCATAATGATAATTGTTTCAAAGAGTTGTCATGGAAGGTTGCATTACAAAATATTAAGTTGCTTAGCACAGTGCTAGGCACATGGGAAGGACCCAATAAGTGGGATGTCTTACAACTTTGAAAAAGTTATAAATCAAGGTGGAGTTCAGAAACAAACAAAAAAGTCACCTAATTTGGAAATCTTGAAAAATATATAGAAGCAAGCAGACTTTAAAAGAAAATTCATGAAGGAGAGTAGGGTTTCAGCAGCCAATGTAGAGAAAAGACATTCTCAGGAAGCTGGAACACACAGAAACATTTTCAGGAGAAGGCTGTAATTCTGAGAAATTGTATATGATTCCATTTGGCTAGAGCATAAGATGACTGTGTGAGTTGTGGTTAATTTCATTTGGAAAGGAAGAGGAGGACCATATTGGAGATGACTTTGAATGTATATTCAATCCAGTTGGTAGTGTGAATTACTGCAACGATTTAGACAGGAAAACACAGTCTGAGTTGGACTGAAGGAAACTAAATCTGAAAGTAGTAGCCAAGCTCCTGGAAATGGGGAGATTATAGTAAAACTTGAGGGGAGAGAGTATGTAAATGTTGAATTGGGATATTAACAGCGGGTATTTAAACAGGAGGGAACCAGTAGGGTCATTGCTATGGAGGTTGACTTGTCAAGATCTCTCAGACTGAAAGATAATATATGGAGGGGAGTGTAATGTCAGAAGCGAATGGAAGGCTTTGAGCAAGGGTGTCTGGGAAAGGACCACCCTGAGTCATCCACATGTAGAATTGATATTTTACGGCTGAAAATGAGAAGGTCCTTTTTTGACATGAATGCCAGAAGTCCTAGTGAAACAATGGTGTTCTAACTGACCAAGGAAGAGTATGGCTGGGATTGGAGCTAACGATTGATTCTAGGACCATCTGGAGAGTGGACTCGGGAAACGCTGGGATATAAGCTCAAAATAGAGCAAATGAACTAAGAGGAAATCCTTGAGTGGTAACTGTAATGTTAACAGGATTCAGCATGACAAAGGGAAGGGCTCAACGTGCTTCATGAAACGGCCTGGTCCTCAGGTTCTTGTGATGTGGAGAAGTCAGTAGGTGCCTGAGGGGTGTGATATGGGGGAGTTATATTAGGTTGAGTCATTCAACCAGATGTGATTGGTCCATTTGAAGGAGTAACTCTAGTGCTACCAGGAAGGAGGAAGTTTGGTTAAAAAGGGTTAAGGTGTGAGGGGCAGATGATAACGTTTAGTAAGTGAGGGTCTTCTCCTTACAAGGTCCACTCACCGGAGATGTCCTATAGGAAGAAGAGCTAACATTTGAGTCCCCAGGCATGGCGACAGATGCTTTAGGTGCAACTTACTTAATTCTCAAAACCACCCTTTCATAAGTACTGCCAGTCTCCCCACTTTTTACTTGAGAGAATAGAGGTACAGAGGAGATAAAGTGTTTAAGGTTTCACAGGGATGGAGCTGAGATCAAACCTCACACAGTCTGACTCTGAGCCAGCACTTGCAGCCCAGTGCTGGTTCTCACACCCTTTCCTACAAGGTGCACCCAAGACCCTGCTTGCACACCTCACCCACACCCCCTTGTGTCTTCTTACCACCCCCCCCACACTCCCTACTAGATGCTTGGCCCCTTCTCATCATCTTTCCTGCAGGACTTACATGCTCCTCCATGTCTCCCCCTCAGGCCACTGGGGTTCCGAGCCCCCACATCCTGGTGGCAGTGCTCCCTGGTTTACCCACGGCTGCTGAGCTCTTTGTCCTGCCATATCAGGATCCAACAGGAGAGAACAAAAGGTCAGCAGAGGATCTGGAGCAGGTGAGTCCCCGAGGTGACATTTCAGCCTTCCCCAGAGGCCTGCATCACACTCCTGCTAGTGTCTAACCACCGCACAGCAGCTCTCAGGGATCTGGGCTTGAGAGCGAGAGCACCAACTGTTGGTGGAGCCTTACACTTTCTGGTCTTCCATTTCTTTTTCATAATCTGTTGATCCTAGCTACAGCTTCACAAAAAAACAATGCACAAGTGTTTGTTGTACACCGTGGCTCAGTTATTCAGAGTATATCCACACTGGAATGCTCTACAGAGTTTACAGTGAATTAGATAAGTCTATTCATATTGATATGACAGACTGTCCAAGGTGTTAAGTAAGAGAAAGGCAAGTGGCTGAACAAAATGCAAAGGTTGAACCTATTTATATCTTACTTTACTTATTCTCATCACCAGAGTATCATGAGAATTAAATGACTTCATATGCATGATATCTATATATATAAAAACCCAGTGACCAGAACGGTGGAACAACCAGAACGACCGGAATGACCAGTGGCTATGACACACACTGCGGCAACCAACCAGCCTGATCTGGGCCTGGATCAGGGCTTCCCCCCTGACCCCTGCCCCGGCCAGCCCAGGCTCTGATAGGCCCCCAACACCCAGATTGGGGGCAGGGCTGGCCAGCCAACCGCCTGCAGCCCCTCCCCCCTGCTTGCCCAGCCGAATGGGTCCCCATCAAGGTGGGCTGGCCAGACCCCACTCATACATGAATTCATGCACCAGGCCTCTAGTTGTTTATAAAAGGTACAAATCTGTACAGATCATGAATCCTCTTTATCACACTATGTTAGATGATGATCTAATGTGTGCTGATAACAAATGAGTAATATTGGCTACAGTCAACCTCCACTGACTATTTGGGGTCCACTTCCTCCTCATGTCCACCACCTCTGGAATATTAATGTATCTCTCTGTGTGTTTGTGTGTATCTGTGTGTGTTTCTCTCCTAACTGTCCCCTTTAATTCCTCCCACTCCTCCTTTTAACTTCAAGTCTCTCCTATCTCTGTAGTTGATATTGTTATCATTATTATTATGTTGCTGTTATTTTTCTAGTTCTTTTTCTCTGCCCATTGAGTTAAAATGATCAGTCTCGGTTACCCCTTTAGAAACTATATGACTTCAGTTTCTTAATTCTTTCTGGCCAATAGATTAAAGATAGGATTTCTCTGGGGCACTCGGTAAATATTGGCTTTTTCCCCTCTAGTACTTGGAGCTTTTCCATTTATTTAGAATGAACCCATAATCAAGTCCTATGATCAGTAGTCTTCCAAGATGCATTTAGAACCCCCTAGAACAGCCTAACAACAACTCCAAATTACAGCATGGCCTACCGCCTAGCACATACCCTTCTTTCCCCTGCCACCTTGTCACCTGGCAGAAGGCTCACCTCTGTCATTTTCTCCAGGTGAAAGTAATAAACTCAGCTGTCATGGAAAGCCCTGCTGACCCCAACTTCATAGTGAACTTCAATGGCAGCAGGGGCAGCAGGTAACCCATCAGATTTGCATCTGACCTTGCTCAGCACCACCACACAGCATCCCATCACATTCTACAAATTATTACCTGCACCTGCAATTTAGTTGGAGAGAAAAAATGGATTATTTCTTATTACAGCATTGCTAATGAGAACCTACCAGGAAAGGAGATCTGAGGCCTTTAGGTCCTCCTCTTACTGATTGTCTGTGAAGTCCAGGTCATAATCTTTGCAAGTATGGGATAGTCCAGGTTTAGAGCCAGCAAATTCCCTAGCTACCACATCCTCTGTGCATCTCTATTTCTCTCCATTTTTCTCTGAAAGTATAATTCATTGTAGATGTTTTCCTTGGGGGGAACATGTAGAAAGAAGAGGGGTAAATTCTGTGAAACTTCTTTTGCTTGTGTAAGGATGTATCTTGTTTTGACTGTCTGTTTTCTCTGGAATTCTTGTTTCTCTGTCTTGTCTGAGTGCCTCCTACAAAGGCATTGTCAGAAAGCTGAGGGATGGTCCCCAGGTAGCCTGAGACCAGGTATTAATAGACCATTAATCAGAGACCTGATGGTGGCTGTCGTCTTTGAAGGCTGTGTGACTTAGCATTTGGCACATGTATAGGGAGTCCAACTACTTTATTAGAAAGAGCACAGGTTTGGAGAAATGTAAACCAGGTTTCTAGTTTAAGCTCTGATAGTCATTGTGTCTGTTTTATAGAAGAAGAAACTAGGACCAGAAAAGTTCAATAGTTCAGCCAAAGAAACATCCATCTCAGAGGATGTTTGAGATATCATTAAAGAAACGATATGGCAAGGTACTTGTCCTATCGTGGATGTCCAGTATTGCTAAATGGATGGTGGTTAGGTTTATGGCCATTTAGGAGGAGAAAATATGGAAAATGCAAAAATAATTTAAGACTACTTGATACAGTCAGGGCATGTATTGAAAGAAAGAGGATGGTGGGAATAAGGGGGAAAAGATTAATGAATGAAAGTATACGAGCGAACAAGGTCAGTAGGAAACAGAAAGAGCATGTATGAATGACTATCCTGGAGTGAGGATGACACATCTAAGTCATCATGCAGATTTATAGCATTAAAGGAAAACAAAGTACCAAGCCAGAGATTGTAACTCTGTTTAAGGAATTTGCCAGTGTTTCAGCCTCATTCAGGACTCAAACTAAACTAAATACAACAACCAAACAAATGCCGACATAAGCACATGAGATCAGTTTCTTAGTTGGGGAGAATGGCGGTACCCTAGTGAAAAAGGGCAGTAATGAGATCAACATATAAAACTGAGCCAGGTGTCAAGCACCTGAGAAACATGGGTTGCCCATCAGAAACCTGTAGTTTTCCTCCAAAGAGGGGTCCTTTGACTCTTCTCTCTGACTCAGTGGCTTTAAAATGAAGGAATTCAGGCCCCAAGGTAGAGGTATGACTTGCCTGAGGTGAAACAACTCTTATAGTTCTGTTTCTGTAGCGGACTGTCTAGTCTAGTGCTCTCCTACCCCCCACATCCCATGCTACAGACGTGGATTTGGATACCACTGTACTTCCGTGGACCCAGAAATACCAAGGCTGATGCACTATACTAGGAAATGAATGAGATATGTTTTGCATTTGTGTGTGTTTCTGAATGCAATTAACAGCTATCTAATTCAAACACATTGAAGGGAAAAAGTGAAGTTATGAGCTTAGTTCGTTGAGAAATCTAAGGCTATAGTTCAGGCATGGGTGAATTTTGGGTCACTCAGAAGTATCATCAAATTACTCCTCTTTCTCCCCCTCTCCCTCTTTTTTCTATCCCTGTTCTTTGCTGCCACGTGGGAAGTCTGCCTAAGAATGAAGCTAACACTTAGGAAAGCAACAGTGGCCACAGGCACTCCCAGCTGCTGTTGAGTCAGCTGTTAATCCCATCCAGTGCCTCCCTGATTGTATCTCGAGAGCCCAGGTTGACAGTTCCCACTGGCCTGACTTGGGTGCAGTGGGCATCTCTTAACTCGCCCAATGGTCAGAGGGATAGAGTGTGTCAACTCTGATGGGTTATACCTTCCTTGGATCAGGGATGTAGGTGGAGGGGGCTCCTAAATCAAGGACTAAAATAATAAAGGACATGGTTCTTTAAAGAAAAGCATAAGAAGAGAGAAGGAACACTGGGCAGGCCAAAGCAACTGACTCCCTTTGCATTAAATTATACAGAAATTTTAAATGCATTCAAAGCCAAACCAAACAAAAAGATCCCCTTCCCCCTATTTGAAGGCTGTACTCTGAATCCCAGGTGGAACTTTGGAAGGACTCACCTTATCCCTCCTCTTAATGCCCTGGCCCCTTTCTTGTAAAGATACAGCATAGGACACCCCCCACCCCCACCAGCAGGGGAAGAAATGGGACCCCGGCCAGATGAACCCTGGAGACTGTAAGGACAAGGCCCCAGCAAAGGGCCCCTGCCTTTCCTCCTTTAGCTTCCTCTATCAGCATCCCCGGGGGAGAGGGATGATGGCTTAGACTGAGCTATCTTTTCTGTGAAATAAATTGAAAATCCCCTCACAGTGAGAAGTACTTGACCTTGTTATCAAGCAACGTGGGCCGGGTTAATCAAGTGACCTCTGTCTGGGAGGGTTCCACCCGCCTTGATTTCAGATTTCCAGTGAGTGAGGAGAAGCTGGCTTGCCCTTTGCTGGCCTCATCAGGGACAGCACATTCTGCTACCCTGAGGCCAGCTGCTCAGATATAGAGCAGTCCTTCCCCTCCACGGCTGTGCCTCCTTCTCTCGGAATCATCAGAGGTAAGCAGATTGGTATCTGGCTTCCCCGGAGGGAGGAAAGAGCATCCTGCTCTATGAAGGTTGTTGGGGGTGCTTGGCTGGAGAGATAGGGAGCCTACCGGTTCTTTTGCAGAATCTGTAAAGGGCATGAAAACACTTAAAAGGAAGAAAAGGACTATGGGAAAAATGTCAACCACCAACAATGTATTGCAGCCTCAGTTGTTTGTGTTCTCATATACACTTCACCACAGATGCAGAGTCTAAGATTCAGGGAAAGGAAAGGTGCCTCTGAAATTGGAACAGTCTATTGGCAGCACTTTAAGGAAGTAAACATTTACTCTGAAATATAATTCATAAACTCAGACTATTTTTTCTATGCCCACAGAGTCTACTTTGTCTGGATTTATTAATGTGAGGAGTTGAACCATAGAAATCCTCTGGAGTTCACAAAAAAGATCATTAAAGTAAGAAACCATAACTAAAAGTAGAGTAGGTAAGATTTGGCCCAAAAGTAACATGGCAAAAGGAGACCGAGCTTAGAGCTGGTTCTGAAGAATATGAGAGGAGGAAGTGTATATGGCCGATCTATTTCTTCCTTATATCACCCAGGAAACTTCTTAGGCACTTTCATCACACTGGTTATCTTGGGCAAAGAAAGAATGGAAATAGATGAGCTAGTGTAACTAGAATTAGTATTTGGCCCCATTGCTTTCCCCACTAATTGTATGAGTTGGGGAAGATCTTCCT